TTGTGGGACACTCTTGTGAGACACTCTTGTAGGACACTCTTGTGGGAGACTCTTGTGGGACACTCTTGTAGGACACTCTTGTGGGACACTCTTGTAGGACACTCTTCTGGGTCACTCTCGTAGGAAGGTCTTGCGGGGCACCCTTTTGGGACACTTTTGACTTGATACCACCAATCATCCCGCTCACCAGCGACACACCGCGTTTACACCAGCCTGTTTCGCGCTCCCAGTGGCACGGCGCCACACAAACGCACTTTCCGCGCAAATCCCAATGGCACTGCGACATCACGCACGTCATGTCGCCACACGGTCTGCCCACGCACTAGAAGCAAACGTATCACATGATACCGCCAATCATCCCGCTCACCAGCGACACGCCGCGTTTACACCAGCATGTTTCGCGCTCCCCAGTGGCACAGCGCCACACAAACACACTTCCCACTGCAACATCACGAACGTAATTTCGCCACAGGGTCTGCCCATACACTACAAGCAAACATGTCACATGATACCACAAATCATCCCGCTCACCAGCGACACGCCGCGTTTACACCAGCCTGTTTCGCGCTCCCCAGTGGCACGGCGCCACGCAAGCGCACTTTCCACGAAGGCCGTGCAAATCCCAATGGCACTGCGACATCACGAACGTCGCACGGTGTGCCCATACACTAGAAGCAAGCATGTCACATGACACCACAAATCATCCCGCTCACCAGCGACACGCCGCGTTTACACCAGCCTGTTTCGCGCTCCCCAGTGGCACGGCGCTACGCAAACGCACTTTCCACCAAGGCCGCGCAAATCACAATGGTACTGCGACATCACGAACGTCGTGTCGCCACACGGTCTGCCCACACACTAGAAGCGAACATATCACATGATACCGCAAATCATCCCGCTCACCAGCGGCACGCTGTTTCGCGCTCCCCAGTGGCACAGCGCCACGCAAACACACTTCCCACCAAGGCCGCGCAAATCCCAATGGCACTGCAACATCACGAACGTAATTTCGCCACACGGTCTGCCCATACACTACAAGCAAACAGATCGCATGACGCCGCGTTTACACCAGGATGTTTCGCGCATGGCACGGCGCCACGCAAACACACTTCCCACCAAGGCCGCGCAACTCCCAATGGCAGAACGTAATTTGGCCACACGGGCTGCCCATACACTACACGCGTCTCGCGCGAAACGTTCTCCTAAAAGTCATGCGAGCGTTTCGTACGAGACTTCCTCCAAGAGTCACGCTTCGAGGCTGCAAGACGAGCGTTTCGTACGAGACTTCCTCCAAAAGTCACGCGTCAAGTCTCCAAAACGAGCGTTTCGTACGAGACTTCCTCAAAAACTCACATGTCAAAGTCTGCAAGACGAGCGTTTCGTACAAGACTTCCTCCACAAGTCGGAAACACCCAGGCAGGCCCAAGTTGGCACAGGTTTGGATCCAGGTACTGCAGCTCCCATATCCAGCCATGGAAAGAAAAGATGAAGGGAGGAGGAGCTGGTCAGTCTGAATTCCAAAATGACATGCGTCTCCTTGGCGTTCATACGTGCACTGCAATGAGCGACCTCCTGAGCGATCAAATTGGGCTGCTTCTGATCCAACAAAGTGCGGATCTGCTGCACGGCCATTTCGTTCTGCAAGGCCGGCTTGGTCTGCACGTTTGAAAGGATCAAATCCAAGAGGACAGTTGCAGTAGCAGTGCCACAGGATTCAAGGGGATGCGCCTTGCCTTTGGTGTGCTGCTTTTGCCGCACACGCACTGCATGCTGCAAGGCTTGCGCCAAGGCTGCGTCCGCCTGGAGACGCATGGCCAATGTCAGCGCAGCATGGAGCTGTCTCAACTCCTGGTCGTGTTGCATTGGTGACCTCAGGTGAAGTCAAGGAGCCCCCCGAAGCAGCCGAAGAGGCAAGCGAGCCATCGGAAGATAGTGAGGCCACTACTGATGATGGTGGAGAGCGAGGTCGCTTATGGTCTGGAGATCGCACCTGGTCCTCCTTCATGGAACTCAGGATATCTGCCAATTTTCGTGGAACTATCAAGAAACTCAGGAGGGCAGAGAAGCAAAATGCTGCGGAATGGGTAGAAAAAGCAAAGCGCTGCAGAAGAAAAATGGAACTGCCTGCACCCGGTCATTAAGACCAGTCTGACTGAACCCCGGGCGGTTCCTGTGTGTGTAGCCACAAGGACTTCCGAGGCCTATGTACTCCTCAAAAGTGTGAAAATCAAAGTGAAGGCAAAGTGTAGAGAAGCCAGCGCAGCCCTAATGTTGTCTAGAAACATGGACACCCAAAGCAGTCTTAGTGTTGAACCATCGGCCGCAGTGCACACAGGAAAGCTGCCACGCACCATTTTTAAGTCTATCTTTGCCAGCCAGGCAATGGAAAGTTGATTTCTATTTTTTTCATTTAGATCTTCATTTAGATCATCATTTTTTTACAAAATATTTCTGTTTTATTTTCATTCATTTTGGGATTATCATTTTTTTGCGTCATGTTCATCCTTCCAGAACTGGTTGGCTTTGCTGTCACTTCCCATGGGCTTCCAAAATCACTTCAGTCACAGTCAGCGCCCCAAACTATATATAGATGCGTGAAGGGATGCCCTCACCCATCCCTTCCCGAGCAATCGAAACCAAGGATCAAAATCATGGAATGCAACTTGCAAGCTGCTGAGCTAAACCACTGGGCCCCAAAAGCCTGAGCCTAGTGGCCTAGTGGCCTAGAAATTTGTCATACAGGGATGGGAAGTAAAACAGGTTAGTGAAGAGACAGCCCTGAATGAAAACTAAAATTACATACGAAATTGTCAGGAACAATATAGACAATTATGACCCAAATGAAGACCAAAATGACAGATGAAAAGAAAATGATTAACCAAATGAAAACCAACATCACAAATGAAATAAATGATGAACCAAATGAACACCAAAATGACAAATCAAAAAATGAGGAAACAAATGAAAACCAAAATGCCACACGAAAAAAAATGAAAAAAAAGAACAATAAATGAAAAGCAAAACCGAAACGAAAAATAACGAAAAAAAATGAAAACAAAAACCGAAAAATAGATGAAAAGCAAAAACGAAACGAAAACAACATGAAAGTTTTTGTTCACTCAAAAATTGCAATTTTCCTCGAGTTTTTTTCATTGTTTTCCGTTTTTTTTCGTTTTTCGTTGCTTTGTGGCCGAAACTAGCCGAAACGAAAAACAAACGAAAACAAAATGAAAAAACTCGAGGAAAATTGCAATTTTTGAGCGAACAAAAATGTTCATTTTTTTTTTCGTTTTTTTTTTCGTTTCGTTTTTGCTTTTCATATATTTTTCGTTTTTGTTTTCATTATTTTTTCGTTTTTTGTTCGTTTCGTTTTTGCTTTTCATTTATTTTTCGTTTTTTCATTCTTTTTCGTTGTTTTTTTCGTTTCGTTTTTGCTGTTCATTTATTTTTTGTTTTTTTTCATGTCTTTTTCGTTTTGGCTAGTTTGCGCCACAAATCAACGATAGTCAGGTCCACTTCACAAAAGCTAAAATTTAAAGCAAAATAGAAGGAAATGTGTGATCCACCAGCTAAGAGGGTTCAGGACTAGCTCACTTGGCCGCTTTCCTTCAGGGGAGGCAATTGCAATTGAGCTCCAGCATTCTTTTGTCTTTCATGATCGCTTTGGCTAGTTTCGGCCACACATTGGCAACATTGTAATTTAATTCATGTGTTCATGTATATACTGTAACTTAGTCTGTTCATGTTGTTTTAAGTTCAAATAGTTTCGGCAACGCGTGAACGACAGTTTAAGTACATTTCTCACAACAGCTAAAGCAAAATAGAAGAAAGTGACTAGCCGACCAGGGTAGCAAAGAGGGTTCAGGAGTAAGTGACTTGGCAGCCTTCGCTTCAGGGGACGCAAACGATAAACGCAATCACGCATGAAACAGCACGGGTGGGCGTGTAAAAAGTAATGATGCAAACGAAAACACACATTTACATGAAAAACACACAAATGGGCATGACAAAAAATGATGATGAAAACGAAAACGAAATGAACAAATAAATGTTTTGTCCACCCCCAGTCTGTGGCTGTAAGATTCTCATAACACCATTTCGCCGGACTGCGCCAGAGCCAGGTCTTGCTAAACATTGGTCCCGCTTGTGCTTGTTGAGGGCCGAAATGGTCAAAAAAGTCAAACCACAATGAACATCAGGACAAACATGAGGACGAGCGCCACCCGATTGGGCACCAGCCCGACCGGGCGCCTCCGTATCGGCATTGTCACCACATTGCTTCAAGTGCTTGGTCAGACTGACTTTGTACGTAAATTCAGCATTCCGAAAAGTGCAAGTAAAACTCCGACTAACTGTGCGCTTATCAGAAATGCGCCGACGCAGACCTTGGGAATTCTTAGCTACAAAATTGCATCCAGAAGTAGGACAGCGAAGGTCCACAGGCGCTGCCTTAGCAGCAGCTCCCCGGCGCTGAGGTTGCAAAAGACGCCGATCGGCGCGCTCCGTGGTGCGAGTTTGGGGGGCAATTGCAAAATTTTTTTGACAGCAGTAGCCCGCAAAGTCCTGTCCCGAGCTTGTTGAAAACATATACGATGATCAATGCCAGGAAGCTGTTGGAGAATCTTAAGAGCTTGGACTCGGGAAGTGTCAGAATGCCGTCGCTTCGTTTCGGTCGAGGACGGAAAACGTCGACCAGTGAGCATGCCAAAAAGAAATTGTCGAGGGAAGCGGGAACTGTCCATGCGGACGAGGTGCCCCAACCAAGAAGCTAGACGCCGCTGGAGGAGTGTGAGCAAGGAAGGTACACCCAGTAATTGAAGCAAATCAGCATGAGACCCAAGAGACTCCCAGAATGGATCTATAACAAAGGTCATGTATGTACCATTGAGCCGTCGCACGTAAGGAGCTTGCAAAGTCCAATGCTCAGACCCCCATAACAATGTGGAGGCGACACAAGACACGAAAATGCCTGCCTTGGTTTTCCTAGACAAAGAGCTCTTCCACAAGCGCCTAACTTGACCAAAAGCCCCATAGGCCAGCGCAACACGCCAAGAAACGTCAGCAGAGTTCCCAAGCTGAGAATCAATAGCAATGCCCCCAGATACCGAAAGGACCCTGTACGAGGGATAGCAGCACCGCCAAGACGTAGCACTCTGCACCCCGGCAGGGGCGCCTTGTCCAACATAGTAGAGGAACTGCAGATCAACATCCACTCAGTTTTCAATGTACTTAAATTTTGCCCCCAAAAGCACCTAAAACCTGATGGAACAGCTCAGCACCTTGTTGGAAAGATTGCCAATTGTTGCAGACAAGAAGCGTATCGTCAGCAAAAACAACATCGGACAATACAGAAGAGAGATCGGCAGTACCCAAGGTCCGTCCCGGAGTGCGAAGTATGCAGTCATCACAAGAGGAAAGGGGCACACCGAAGTTCAAGTGAGCTTGATGGCAACGCCGTCGCCACTCACGCGTGACAAAAGAAAAGTAGACCAGATACAATGTAGGACCTTCCAGCCATGTCCACATCCGGGCCCAACGAGCCCCAGTGACAAACCTGTTCATATCCTGATGTACTAAACGAAGCATGTTGATCACGTGCGAAGGGACCGACAACTTGGACTCCAAGAGCGACCAGAGAAGTGTTCGAGGTACGGAGTCGAAGGCTTTCCTCAGGTCGACAAAAAGCAAAAACAGCTCAGATTCACCGTGCGCAGCAGCCGGCTCAGCATGGACTCCAGAAGAGTCCGGCGCCTTACCCGACATGAGTTGCTTCCTGGCGGAGCCCAATGCTCAGCAGACAAGCCTGTCAACGGCAGGCATGCCAACAAGAACATCTTGGTCAAAGGGGCGGACCACGTTGAGGACACAGTCAAAGTGCTCGGAATGGCGACCCTGGTCCTGCCTAGTTGAAGACTGGAGCGCTCCTGGTGAGCCCCTGAGAGTGAAAAAGCCGCCCAAGTTGTTTTGTCTCACCATATAAAGTAGCAGCATCATGTGGACGAGAGGCCTGCTCCATACAGACAACGCGGTCCAGCCACCATTGGTCTTTCAAAGTGCGCGTCACCCGTTGACTGTCGTGGCGAGCATCACGCAACTGTTGCAAGGCAGCGGCATCTCGGGATGAGAACGAACTTGAGACAAGGCGTGCTGCCTAGCCATAGCCAAGACCTCTTCGTTCCCCTGACGCCAGTCGGGAACCGTCCTTGAGACTGAACCCAAAGCACTTTCAACAGCTGCGCGAAGAAGAGAAGGTAGCGTATTAAAAGCAAAAGTTCCAGAACAAGCAGCTGTATACCTCCTTACCCAGGTCAATAGAAAATTGCGCACGAGCCACAGTCCTTGAGCTTGGAAACACAGAGCCGTTGTGGCCTCTTAGCGAAGGAAGTGCTCTGGGAAGTAGGCCGAGTGAACTGCTGAGGTCGAGCCCGTAAACACAGAATCATAAACTTGTGGTCACTGTAGCACTCAGCGCCGGGCACAGCATGGACATCCGCTACAAATTGAGAATGTTGTTGTCGACAAACGGCATTGTCTAAAACGCCAGGTGTGTGCCACCGATGATGCCACCAAGACGCCGTGTGGGAGACGTCATGTTGAAAAAAGCCAATGAGGAGACGAAGCCCTTGTTCAACTGCAAACTGCAAAAGCAAATCGCCATTGTGGCTTCGTTGACCTAGGCCGTGCGGCCCCAACACCTCGGGCAGCGCACCGCCCAGCAACCGGGCACCTACCCGACAATTGAAGTCACCCACCATCATCATAATATCGCTGTTAGGCAGTGAAGAGGCGGCGAAGATCAGCCCAAAACAGATTCTTGGTCTCGTCGTCGCTCTGCATAGTAAGACCATAAATAGAAAATTAATGCCACAGACCCTCGCCCCCGGCCAAGCGAAAGTACAAGCGCAAGATGCACCCAGAGCTGGCGTATTCATGCGAAGAGCCAGAAAGCCTCCAAGCACGAACCGCAGCTGGAGAAAGCAAAAAGGCAACTCCACCGTGAGGCCCGCTCCAGCAAAGACCAGAGTATAACTAAGAGCCAAGGCATAGAGCTTACGTGATTCCATCAAAGATACAAGCTGATCCAAACGTTCATCGCCACTAGAAATAAGCACACCGGAGGAATCAACGTCAAGAGTATGCGCAAAGTCTGTACGTTGAGAAAGCCAATGCGGCAAGAACTGTGCACGTGTCGAGATGCTTGGAGGATCGCTTCAATATCCATCCATGTTTGAAACACCACATATCATACATATTTCATCATATTTCTCCTCTGAATTCTATCCGGGAGTTTATGGGATCATGCATGACTTTAATACATATTGTGACACATATTCTCACAGAGCCTGCTGGGCAATTTTTGGCAGCTGTTGACTGGTTTTGCCTAGCTTTGTACTATCAGCAATTTCCTAACGCGTTGCCAACCAAATGGAAAACCATCCATGGTAAAACCAACGTAATTGCCTGCCCAAACCAACGTTAATTGCCTGTTCCTCCCGTTGACGTGGCCAAATGCATGAAGTTGGAGAGGGATGCACATGTACCTCACACGAAGGAGCCTGTTACACTGTTGGACCCCATGCGGCTAACAGCGAGGCCGGGGACCTTTTTGGAAGGCTTGGAAGACAGCGTCCGATCGCTCCTAGTAGCGATGCCAGGAGCCCCTAGTAACTAGTAGCTTCTTGTTCCTAGTAGCTACTTGCAAAGTATGATTCCACTTTGATAAGGGCCTCAATCATCTTCAATCTCTCGAGGCATTGCTAGGACAAACAGGACACTTCGGCCCTAGCGGAAGGTCTGGGGAATTCCTTTCTTCACGGTCGCAAACTCCAAACAAATATGAAGCTGTTCCCTTCCGCACTTATCCAGTCCTCCTTTTTTTCTTTGACAGGTTCCTTCTTCTGCTTCTCCTGACTTGGCATTCGAACTGCAGGGCCAAGACATGCACAAAGAAGACCGAAAAGATAATGGGTTCCCCGGAATTGATGCAAATTGATGCAACTGCCTCGGAGTTGAAAACTTCACCCTGTTTGCAGTGTTTGTCTTTTCTGGACTAACAAGGCAATATCTGTCTGTGTCTTGGACTTGTCGCTAGTCTTGGAATCCCATTGACAGGTCCGCCGACTGGTTTACCAAGGATTGGATGCTGACAAACGTGTGTCCCAGGACGCCTGACATGTTGAAATTTGTTGACTTTTGGCCACAGCATTGAGTGCTTCAAAGCGAATTGGCCGCTTGTAAATTCCATTCTGAGTGTACAGTGGTGCATCCTTACAGTTGCCTTCTGATTAAAAAAAAGCAGCTGTTTGAGCACAATACAGAACTTCAACTACCTGGTCCAATCAAGGTGGAGTGTGGCATGCACTGGGCCGAATCACAAAGTTGGAGCACTTCCAGTGGTAGTAGCTAGCCGCTAGCCACGAGGCCTGACAGATTCGGATTTTCTTGCAGTTGAACGAATTACACTCTCCCAACTTTCCTGGCCTTGAGCACTGCATCGATCACGTCTGAATGAAGCCCTGAAAGTAACGGGATCATACAATATGGGTATAGCCGGTGTAGCCTTTGAATATCACAGTTCATCATTCTCATGTTCAAGAGCAGGCACAAAGGCATCGCGCCCCCTGCCCTACCTGTCCTGCCAGAACCCTTGGCTCTGGAGGGACACCATTTCCGTGTGACATGCTTTGATTACGTTGAGAAAGAAACACCGAACAAACTCAAAAGTTGTGTCTTTGCAAAAACCAAAAGTTGCACTGCCCTACAATGGCAAAACATGCATCGACTCACCATCCTTGATCTAATCATCCAAGAATTCAGGATACAAATGCACGGAAACGTGTCCAAACAAAGAAAACGTCCAATCCACCTGCTGCAAATTAAGAAACTAAGGGGATTCACACACTACAAATTTGCACGAGTGTGCGCTCTACTACGCCAACGGATACTCTCCCCAACCCTGAACATGGGAAACCATTTAAGCCACGCTTGGAATTTGACAACCTTCATATACCAGGTGCTTAGCACTCCGCCTTGGCGGGAAACGTGCGATTGGAACTTTTGAACACCAACCAACACTTCCTGATCCTCTAGTCTTTCAAACGACCCAGTTTCTACGGCATCTCCACAAACAACACCTTGATCTTCCAGGACCAGGGACACACATCTGCTCCCCACACAGTCCTGGAACCGGTTTGAAACCAGGCCAGCGGCCTGCCGACCCCCAGGCTGCCGACCAGCCGCTGCCGAACGCCCCATGATCCCAGCCTTGGGGCGTTCGATCTTCTTCTCCTTCTCCTTTTCCTTCTCCTTCTCCTGGCCATCACTTCTGAACAAAGAGGAGAATGGTTCCAAGGGTGAAGCTTTTTGCAAACCAACAGATACCTTGCGACAAACTATCAGCTGGAACACCCTAGTGTTCTTTCATATTTCTCTAATTGGTCCTTGCAACCGCTGTGGCATGTGGACGCAAAAACCCTTTTGACTGAAGCGGAATGATCAATGAATATCATACAATCATGTCCTTCCCCAATTTCAACCACATTGTTTGAATAGTGCACGTTGAAAACCCGTACACGAAAACAAACCAACTGACCATGTGTGCTTGGTTCTTCTGTTCTACACGTTCCCCTTTTGACTGGTATCCTCGTGGCGGCCTGTTGAAATTAAAAGGCAACATGTTGTTTTGCCTGGGCCCTTGTTCCTTCGAAAAACTGTTGGAGAAAAAGGAGCCGGAACCGAAACAAACATAAGCGAAAACAATCTACAACATTCTACAATAGTTTACAACATGTGAACAGTGAACATGCACCTCAACACAACATGCCAGGATCAAAATTTCTTCTTGCTAAACCACGATGAAACTTTGAGGCTGTTTGACAATGGATGCCGCGATACTCCTCCACCTCAGCCACCACGCCATGACTAAGTCATGGCAAAGGCCTTGCAGCACTTGTTTCCGCATGGGCAGCAGCAGCAGCAGCAGCAGCAGCAAACCAGCTGCAGCAAACCAGCTGCAGCAAACCAGCTGCAGC